TTTAACTATGACACATTGACTGTTCGGATCGTGGGAATGAAAAGGAGTCATGGGATTGAGAAAGGGATGAATCAAATCCTGTTGGGCTGTGTTTTTCTTATGACGGTTACTTACGGAAAGACACAACGTAAGATATTTATGTCATTATGTTTTTGTAGAGTTCGTTCAACTCTTATCGTTTCGGTTCTGTGAATTGTTTTGATTAAATAGAACTTTTTCCTCCTTACTCATTAACTATTTGTATGTTTATTGGCAAACCAGACAAATGTAGGCCATTTTTAACTTAAATTGATCTCAGCACATCGCGATTCTGTAAAAATCATGATGATCGTAAATGTGATAGACACGTCCACAATATTTACTTCCGGCCTTTTCCTTTGCTTCATTAAATTGAAGATTTGGCTTTTTAAAGATGCATGTAACTATAAACAGGTTTATTTTATTTTGTATTTTTATATATAGAATCAACATTTGAAGTTGGTCTCATTTTGTAAACATGTCAACCACCTTTGTTACACGACCATCCCTTAATTACAAGAAAATAATCTATGTATATTTTAGTCTGTTGGTAAACCACACGTATTGAGGCCAGTGTTAACCTTAATTGATCTCAGCTTATCGAATCTAATATATTCTATAAAAATTACCATAATCAAAGATGAGATAAAATTTCCACGATATTTTGCAGTTTTCCCCTTTCAGTTTTATTTGAGTTTCCTTAGCCACATTAATTTGAAGATGTGCTTCTTCAAAACAATGTGTATAAATATGTAACTACATGAACTACATGTCCGTTTTTATTGTTTTGCATGTTATATAGTTATATTATGTTTATATAAATATGTAAGAATCACGACTTCAAAAATTTTTGTAGTTTATTTCATTTTGTAAACATGTTAACCCGTTTGTTACTCGATCATGCCTTAAAAACAAATGAATGATGTCCGCATCTCTTTGTTGAAAAAAAAACCAGACATGCGGAGGCCAGTATGCACTTAAATTAATCTCAGCTCATCTTAATTCTATAAAAATCATTATGGTCATCAACGAGATAAACACGTCTGTGCTATTTTATTTTACCCTTTAGTTGTTGAGTTTCCTTTGTCATAGTAATTTAAAGATTAGATTTTGTCAAAAAATGATGTGTGAAAGTACGTAACTATAAATAAGCTTGTATTATTTTGTATAAAGTTCTAAATTAAAATGGACTCTAAACGTATAACATGGTCATGTTTGATGATTAGAATTTTGGTATTTTGAAATCCATATAATCAGATTTGTTTGGTTCAATGTATAATTATATAAATGTCTGCCTAAACCAGAATAAATATAAATACAGTGTGGAAAATTTTTGTCAGAAACAAATTTGCTATAAAACTTATTATATAACGTAATATAATTTAAAGTTTTAGTGTTAGATTAAGTCTGAAGATCGTCAGTCTGTTAGAACTGGTTCATATGTTGGGCCGCCATGTTTCTCCAGCCCTGTCCTGGGATCCACATAACTTTTATTAAAGCTTGTGCCACATCATGAAACGTATAAACACCCTGGTATAAAAGAAAATATGTGAATCGGAGTCAAAATTGCAAATATTTAGGCCAATTTTTTACTTATTTACTATTGAAAACGAATTGCAACAGCCAATTAAAAAGTAATTTTCATCAAGCTGATTGTTTTCATTTCTGTTAGATTAGGGTTTATATTTAATCGGCGAGGGGTAAGCAGGGTATAATTGATAAATTTATCGACCCCTATGCACAGTGATGCTATTCAGCTCTGGCAGAAATTACCCTCAGATGGTATACAATAGCGCATAGAATTTCTCTATGAACACAATTAACAACATTCACGTTATAAACCGCCAATTCTTAAAAACAACAAGAAAGTTATTGTCTATTAGATCCACCTACATCTTTCAGATTTTTGAAAATGCTTGTAAATAATGCAACCGTGAAACGATTCAATTAATTTCAATAAAAACAATAATCTATCCACATTCAAGTATTCACTCACACGCTAAAACACACAAAAACACTCTCAGACAACACAAATATATTTACATAATGTATAAATGAAAATAACAAGCCTCGTACAAACGAGCTTCTACAATATTGTCATAAAAAATTATGTATAAATAAAAAATGAGATTGAAATGAATCTTGTTTTAAGTTAGGTAGTTCGTGATTATTTTCAATTTACGTATGTGAGTAAGCTCAAGGGCACAAAAATGATTAAAGATAAGCTTTATAAATTTCCATAATCCTCTTGACGAAACATATACGTTTGGGTAATAATACTTTTTTTACGAGACTGTTATGAAAGGGAAAACAAATATTATTTGTTGTGTTGTTTTAGGTTGAATTATTCTTCTAAATGGTGAATGTTTCGGAAAATCTTTTACCTAGAAACTCGAAAATATAAACGAGTATGTATATGAATATGTTTACATAAGAAAGCAGAGATTGAGTTGAAGTTACTTTTTTTGTCCATATCTTATTAAATTAAAATCAAGAATCTTTCCATAAAATATCATGTCTTGTTAATATTATTAAGAAAATAAAGTTTAAACGTATTTTTTATGCACTTGATTTGAATTTTAAATTACGCTAACGTGCTGGTAAAATATTAAAATATCAGACGTCCTATTTCGCATTGTTGATAAACCAGACGTATGGAGGACAGTGTTAATTTAACTCATCATGATCATCACGAAGAATAATAGACCCACGATATTTAGTTTTGTTTTACGTTTTAGTTTTATTTCTGTTTCCTTTGTAATATTTATTTGAAGATATGAATTAAAAAAAAAATATTAAAGAAGTGGTTGTAAGTGCATAACTTTATATAAGTTAAGTTAGTTGATAAACCAGAAGTATGGAGGCCAGTTTTAATCTGAATTGATCTACGTTTATCATAATTTTATAAAATTGATCCTAAACATAGTTCAAAACTGAGGATTGAGGGTCAATAAATGAAGGTTATAATCGTTTATAATTTTGTCAGAGTTTTTCAAATATATCATAATATGTGTAGTAATTGTATGGTTGTGAGAAGAGTGTAAACTTCTTTATTAGACGACCAAGCCTTAAAAACAAGTAAATTATCGAGTTGTATTAAGGTTTGTTGACACACCATTAAATTACCAGTGGTTGGTAACTTCAATTAATCTCAGCTCATAATAATTTTCAACAATTTACCACGCTCATAATTCAATGAGATCAAACATGTACAATATTTTGTTTTGTTTTTCCCTTTAGTTTCATATGGGTTTAATGTAATTTAAATATAGTTCAACACTGTTGATTGGCTGGTAGAGAAAAACGTTATAATCGTTTATAATTTTGCCATATTTCTCATATATATGATGATATGTTTGATAATTGTATGGGTTGGTGAGAAGAGGGTAAACATGTCAGGCTCTTGTTACACGATGAAGCCTTTAAAACGTAAATAATCGAGCTGTTTTTCGGTTTGTTGATACAGGAGATATATGGAGGCGAGTAATGACTTAAATGGATTTCAAATCATCACAATTTAATAAAAATCATAATGATTTTTGATTAATGAGATAAACACGTCTACGGTATTTTGTTATGTTTTCCCTTTAGTTTTATGTGATTTTCTTTGCCACAGTACTTTGAATATTGGTATATACATACAGGTTCGACTTTTGCAAAAAAGAAAAAAAAGTGAAGTCAGAATCAGCATTTTAGTGTATTCCGATTTGTAAACATGTCTTAAAACAAGCAAAAGATCCACTTATATATGCTTTGTTGACACACCAGATATATGTAGGCCAGCAGTAGGTACATAACGTCATCACGATAATCAATCAATGAGATCAAACAAGTACAATATTTTGTTTTGCCCTTTAGTTTCATTGGAGCTTAATGTAGTGTAAATGCTGTTGATACACTGTTGATTGACTGGTATAGAAAAACTTTTTAATCGTTCATAATTTCGCCATATTTCTCAAATATATCTTTGATAATTGTAAAGATTGGTGAGAATAAGGTATGTCAGGCTCTTGTTGCAAGACTAAGGCCATAAAAACGTAAATAATTGAGCCTGTTTTTCGGTTTGTTGATACAGAAAATATAAGAAGTTCAATAATGATTTCCGACCAATAAGATAAACACGTCCACGATGTATTTTCTTCCCTTTAGTTTTATGTGATATCCTTTGCCATTTTAATTTGAAGATTTGTATATGAATATATGTATATGTATATTAATTTGATTTCATTTGGTAACATGTCACTCTCTTAGTTACACGGCCACGTCTTAAAAACAAGTAAACTATCTATCTATAATTTGGTTTATTATTACACGAGATATATGAAGGCCGATGATAACTTCAAATGATCTCAGCTCATCGAAATTCTATAATAATCATCGTAAGTCCAACAGATAAATGACTGGCACAGCAAAAAATTACAATATTTTATAATTTTGTCAGATTTTATCAAATATATGATAATATTTTTGATAATTGTTGGAAGAGGGTGTAACTATTTATGCGAGGTGAATAATATATCGTGTTGATGATTAGATGATATACACAAAAGTCCGACCGAAATCAAATAAAATTTGAATGTTTAAGTACATTTTAATAACGATATAGAAAAGGTGTAAAAAAAAAAAATGTTTGTAGGCTGTTTATAAAATATTTGCTGCTGTCAACATACGAGGTTGACACTGTAACCTTTCACCTTGTCCAAGCAGTTGAGTGCCACGCGCTTTTCTAATTCAATTTCTTCTCAGTCGTAAGTTTTCCATTTGACGAACGTCTGTTAACAGGAACAATGAGAAGTTATTATTTAAAGAGTCCGGTCTCAAAGGAAGTGTCGAAGTGTGTATAAAAAGGAGGACACGGGCAGTAAAAATTCATTGTGGCAGTAGGCTAAGTCTAGGTTAGAAAAATAGGTCAGTGGTTGTGTAGAAGCGTGTCATCGATGATAAATGTGAAGTAGGTGCCGACGTTGAAGGTGTTGGATTACCTTGGCCAAATGTAGACTCCCGAAACTTCGAAGCCGTAATGCCAACTGCCGGAATAAGCGCCTTGTCCCTTGGGGCCGGTGCAGACCCCATGGCCGTGTGCTTTGCCGTCCTCCCAGCCGCCGAGGAAAGTCCCGCCGTCGTCGAAATCGAACCGTCCTCCGTTGAGCTTGGACGAAGTCGCCGTCCCCGTAGCCCCGGTCGCGGGCTCGTCCATCTGATCTTCTGACCTCCCCCCCCTTGAGAGAGACGATTCTCACTTGGGCTTCCTCTGATCTCCCCCCCCGCTGAGGGAGCCGATTTTGATTTGGGCTGCCTCTCACCGCCCGGACTCCAAGATGGCAACTGTGACTCGGCCGCCAGCCCCCCTTTCGACTCCGGGGGTGAGGGGGGCGGCCGGGGGCGGCAGGGCGCATGACTCGGACAGATATCGCCACCTCGTAGGGACTCGATTCAAACGTTTCAATTTTCACATTTTTCCTGGAAAAGAAAGCTCTTCCTGGGCAGTTGCTCCAAACAATAAACAAATTATATAGTGTAATAAAGAATTTTCCTTCAATGACAATTGTCTGTAAGGAGATATTGTACTTCTATTCTCTACATACTTCAAATTTGATTCCATTCAACGATTCTCACAATTTTACCAGGTTAAATGTAAGTTTATTGTACCTTAAAGTGCCAATGTAGCGTAAAGTTCAAGAAATTAGTTCTTCTAATATATTTTTTCATTTTTTTTAATTGTTGCTAGGAATGTAATTTTTCCCAAATAGACTAAGGTTGAGTCAACAAGCCTAATGGTAATGAGGATACTAGAAAGCTGGGGTTGCCTGAAGAGCACCTGCAGCCTTCTGGCTTATTGTAATTCCTATTTCCCTAGTTCAGTGCAATAGACACAATCCTTCTTCTAAGAAGTATTAGGTCATTGACTGTTACAATTTTATTCCCTAGGTTTTTCCTGTATGCCAGGTTATGTCTCCTTTGATCTGTCGCTTCGTATTCGAAAATGATATGGGTGGCCATCTTATCAATATGTTTACTCAGATGACAGTGACCGGTTAATAATTGTGTCACTCCTCTGAGTCTGCCCCTCTCCAATTGCAGCAGTGAGTTTGCCAGTTTAGTGAGGATTGTTTCGTTATGAGTTTACTGTGTCTACCGCTAGAGTTTATCCTCTTCTCCTTTTGTTTTGTTTGAATCCATTCTGCGATATAGGATTCTATATTTCTTTTTGTTATCCCTAGTATGAGTTCGGGGCCTATGTATGGTCTTGCAGATCCTCCTCTGGCTAGTGTATCTGCTTTTCGTTACCAGAAATTCCTCTGTGCCCTTTATACTTTAATCAATACCGATTTCGTAATAGTACTAACAAGATCTGAAGGATGATGATGATGGGGATACTAGGAAACAGGGTTTATGCTCCCTAGGCAGTGCAGCCTTCTGGCTTATTGTACCTTCCTAGTTCCCTAGTTCAGTGCAATAGACGCCATCCTTCTTCTCAGAAGTGTTAGGTCGTTGACTGTTGCTGTTACAATTTCATTCCCTAGGTTTTTTTCTGTATGCCAGGTTATGTCTCCATTGAGCCTTCGCTTCGCATTTGAAGATGATATGGGTGCCTGTTTCTTCCTCCTCATTACATGATCTGCAAATGGGATCATCTTTATATATGCCCAGGTTATCAATATGTTTACTCAGATGACAGTGACCGGTTAATAGTCGTGTCCTCTGAATCTGGCCCTCTCCAACTGTAGCAGTGAGTTTGCCAGTCTTGGTGAAGGTTGTTTTAGGGTAAGTTTATTGTGTCGGGCGCCGCTAGAGTTTTCCACTTCTCCTTTTGTTTTATTTAGATCCGTTCCGTGATGGAGAAGACTGTTTTCGTTTTTGTTATTCCAAATGTAGGTTCGGGGCCTAAATATGGTCTTGCAGATCCTCCTTTGGCCAGTGTGTCTGCTTTTCATTACCCAAAATTCCTCCTTGCCCTGGCCCCCAAGATATCATCAGGGTGTTGTGTTTCCCCAGGTTTTGGAGATTTTGGATGCATTCACTATTAATTTTGATGTGATTTTTTACATGCTAATGCTTTGGTAGCTGCTTAACTATCAGGCCCTGGTATATGAGGATTTGTTTTGCCAGTGTAACCTCTTTTAAGATTTTCTACGGCACAAGCGATGATGGCATGTATTTCTGCTTGAAAGACCGAAGTGCATTGAGAAATGAGTTTGATTGCTTATATCTCGGGGAACAGACCTAAATCTGCTTCTTTTTATTTTTCGTGTTCTTGTTTCTCGATTGTTGAGTGCACATTTGTATAGAGTAAGCGGGCTTAATGATTTGTTTTTCGCTAATTAATATTAAAAATATTTGATCAAATAAAATGACAATACAAACAGCACCCTAGGAATTTTATAAAGCCATAAAAGACTGTTTTCTGTTGCACTTTTGCATATAAAATATCTTATTTTCAAAGAGCCTGTTTGTAAACTAAGAAAATAATCAAATTTACACTGTTTTTCACTTCTATTAGTCTATTTTGTTTATTCATTTATTTTCTACAAGAACCACTATTGTATTACATGTAATATAGATACATTTACATTATTAACTTTTACTTCATATTACATATCTTATTTATAAAATTAAATTTAGAATTAATTGATTATATATTGTTCATTTCCCCCGAAAAAGTTACAATTTTTAAAGAATTGTTCGAAAACAATATAGCAGTTTTCACCGAGGAAATTTATACATGCACACGGCCAGTACGATCCATTTAGCAGGAGGTGTGGAACCAGATTTACTCTCTTTGCATCCAGCACAGGCCAGTGGAACAAGAGATGATCTACATCCTGAACCTGATTGCCGGAAACTCAAACCGGTGTTGTTACTCCAATTCTTTGCAAATATTTCATGTTGGGCACATGTCCAGTGAGAGTTCTGTCAGCTAGAGACTCCGATCTTGCCTTCTGTCGTTTGAAAATTTTTTTCAATCTCCTCTGTTTGTTGACTTTCTCCATACAAGATCCCATTTTGTAAGGGTATTTTCGAAAAGGCTTTTTATAAATAGTGATGAGGTATTGATTATACTATATTGGTAGTCAAATGTCATCCGCAGCTTCTTTGCCGGTCCGCCTCTTCATTACTTTGGATTCCGATATGTGCTTTCACCCAAAGCAAAGCCGATTGTTTTCCAGCTTCCGTCAGTTGCTTGGCCTGAACCCTGATATCTTCGCATAACTATCCGTGGCTCTTCAGATACCTTATGGATCTGATTGCAACCATGTTGCTGGCAGAATAATTTTCTTAGGATCCCCGCTTATATACAAATAACCAGCGTTTAATCTACATTCACGTCCTAGAAATCGGCTTGGTTATTTGGGCAAAATTTTTCAAGTCTGTACTTTCCCGAGGGAATTTTTTCGTTTCTGTGGAAGAACACAAATGAACATCCCACGTTTCCATTATCTTGTTTGCTTCCGTCGGTATATACATTAATTTCATTTTCATCTTCTATCCATGAATCAATGAATGAAAGATTTCTAAATTTTAAAAACTTCAATTTCAATTTTGTGTATATTTCTTCTTACTCCTCCTACCATTTTCTCAATATTACAAAAAAAAAAATCAAAGAAAAAATCATTGGATATTTTTTAACTTTAACGTCTTTGACGTATTTTAACATCATTTACAGAAGTTACTGTAATCTCCTAAGGTCTGCCTAATAGTTATGTATGATGATGATACAAATGTTTTGAGTATCTAAGTATGAACATGTACGTATGGCTTCAAAACATTTTTTAAGGATGGACCTGCCCTTAGAATCTCAAAACATTAATTATTTCTAAAAACTATATTATCTTATCGTGATAATATCATTGTTATTATTCTATTCTGTAGGTTGTTATTACAATTTATTTTTTATCTTGACCCACTCTATTCCACAGTCGGAGAAAACCAAAAACACACTTTTCTTAAAAAGTAGTCTTTATTTTTTTAATGTTGTTCTGTTTTTCATTTTAGATTTTGTTTTAAAAAATAAAGACTACTTGTTATGAAAAGTGTGTTTTTGGTTGTCTCCGTCTGTGGAATAGAGTGGGTCAAGATAAAATATTGCTACTTTTTTGGTGGTTTAAATTTTGTTTGTTTTTCTTTTAAATTCGCCAATTACATGTTTTCAAAGCTTGCTTTAATTACTCAGATATGTATTAACATTTCACCCCTGCACGGCTTTTGTTGTATTGTAAAAAAAGATATCATTTATATTAAAAACACATAATGCAAATAATTTGCAACTAATAATTGGCTACTATTTTTATGTTTAGCTTTCTCGAAATATGCAACATCTGAATGAAGTTATTTTGATAGAGATATAAGGTCACTGTAACTCAGGCATACCAATTGTATCGATAATATTTGTGGTATGAGTGTGGCATTTTGAATTTGTATTAAACACCCAAAGAGCGAAGTTAGTCAAGTTAAGTTTAATTAACGAATTGTATTGCCCCCTAATTTATCATTAATGGTAGTTTATTCCACGATTCAATTAGCTGGAACGAAAAACACAAAATGTATTTAGAAAACCCTGTTCATTTAGACAAAACTAACGTAAACCCAATTTAGATTTATTATCATGAAAAGAATTGCAGTTTGAATTCGAAAATTTAAGAAAACAATTTATTTTGACAGCGATGACCTGTCCAATACGCAAAAATTTGTTATTATAATTTTGTTCAATGTTTCCTGTAAACGTAATTTTATTTCAAATAAGTGGTCCTTGTGTCTTTTGGCTGTAAGTATGAATCTGTTACGTTTTCTTAATGTTTTCAGTATTTATACTCTTTTGGATTCTGGAAATCATGTTGTGGAGATTGTGTAGTAGTGTCAGAAGGTTTTATAATTTTCTTTTTTCTCTAATGAATATTAAACAATATTGTAAATTATCAAATGGTTAACAAAAACGACCATTTTTGAAGGTTGCATGTCATAGTAACATTTAAAGATATCTTTGCTATATTTATATTTCGTAAATTAAAATATTTTTTCATTATTTTTCTTTGACACTAAATTATTTTCGAATTGACTGTAAATTTGCTGATTATTAGTTTAAACTAAAATGACCGGCAACAAATAAATATTTAGAGTAATTATAATATATTTTAAGTTAGAATATGTATTTCATTTATATCAAATTAAATGGAGAGACCCTAAAATATACACATATCAAGAAAAATCCGCCCTTTATAAAATTGAGCGCTTTTCTAAATGCTAATTTGCTATTTTTTTCGTTGTTATTACGAGAATTGGCGTTAAGAAATATTAAACAGGGCAATCTGCCCAGTGTAATTTG